CAATGGAGGTGGTATAGGGTCATTCCGGTGGTCGAGTTTCAAGGGTGGCTACAATTTTTGGCTAGGGGTAGCGGTGGTCAATGATAGTCTAGGGTTATGGTTGAGACTTGAGAGTAAAAGGAAAAGATGAATTGAAATTCCAAGGGGATTAGCCTGCTCCAATGTTAAAAACATTACTATGGTTAGCTTTCTTAACTAGAAATGTGAGGAAAAACCTTGATAATTCCATGTATGACATGAAACATATATCACGAGACCTTACATGAATCAACATTTTTTTTTTGGCTACTAAAATTTATGTCCACAAATAAGGGGCTAATAGTTTGCAATGTTATAACCAAGTAAAACACCCTTACAAGGAAAAAGTTTTGGATGGAAATTTTCAAGAATGATGTTACTCCCATCATTCATAATAATCACAACACTAGGAACTGCGCAAAGTTTTAGGAAAGTTAGTGGGTAGAGCAAATAAGTGGAATTTTGTAATATAAAGTATAGTTAGTAAAGATGGGGTTAATGCCAAACTGGAGCAATGGAGGGAAAGGTAGGAATTTAGAGGGTTTAAGCTAAGTTGGAGTAAGACTGAATATTTGGGATGCTGCTTTGGTACACAGAGGGGGACAAGCGATGATGTAGTGAGCTTGGACGGAAAGGACTTAACCATGAGTGAATGTTTTAAATATCTTGGGGCGATCATCCAGAAAAATGGTGACATTGATCAAGACGTAGCCCGCATGGATTAAGTCGGGGTGGCTTAAATGGAGAGCGGCCACGGGAAAATGTTTATGTGACCGAAGCAATTCGCTTACAGTTGCAGGGGTTTATAATTAACTGAATTACTTAGAATAGCTGCCTATTTCTCTTGATCTCCCTGAACACTGTCAGTGGTTTGGTTTCCATATGGGTTTCTTATATTATTATTGTGGTTGTTCGTCACTTTTTCATGCTTATAGGCTCTTGGTTCTATGCTTCTGCGATTACCTTCTTTCATGTTTTCAGGCCTCTATGATAGATTTGTTTGTTTAAAACTTTTTTGTTAAATGATGCTTCTGGAAAATTTGCTGGATTTTGTTGGAAATTGCTAATAAGACTTTCCCTGGGCAGCTGCAGACAGGTAAAGATCTCCGGTATGGGCGAGTTTCGCCTGCAGAATTGGTTCAGGCAGTTCATTGAGATGCTCTCGGCCGCTGGGGTTAATATTGATATGGAAACACAGACACTGCTACGAACAAACTTGACCCTGCAGGAACGACTTAAGGATTCTGAAGCAGCATTCTTGCTTGAACAGGTCTTTTGTCCTTGATCATTATATACCATTTATAAAAAAATATCTACTGTTTGCTTGGAAATTCATGACTAATATCTTAATATAAATGCCTTAATTCTAAAAGATTTTCCTGAATTTGGGGTTTATATTCATCACGATCATACTAAAGTCTTGTTCAGTTCAACTCCTCCTGGGACTTTAATTAGTTACTTCATTTTGAAGGTCTAATCTTAATTATTTATCACGTGGAATCTTGTTATATACTTCTCCGTTCTTTTTTTTTATTGCACCATGAGTGATTTTATGCTTGCCAATACAACTTTGGCTATTAATATCTTTACTTATACTTTTGTAAAAATTATAAAAAGTTGATATTTGAAAAGTTGATTTTGAGATGAATCTAACTGGATCCCACATGACTATGTTTTTCTTTACGAATAAATCACAAAAGTTGGTCAAAGAACATTATGTGAATAGTTTAAAAGTCTTAATGGATAAATCACAAAAGTTGGTCAAAGAACATTATGGGAATAGTTTTAAAAGTCTTAATGGTGCAACAAAAGTAAAACAGAGGAAGTATTTTTTTCAAATTAACTTGTTAATTCCTCTTTTTTTTTTTTTTTTTTTTTACTTGCAACATTTCATGCTTGCTAATGCATTATTTCCATCATTTATATTTCTTATTATCAATAAGTAAAAATTATATAACTGTGATATTATGAAAGTATAATCAAGATGGATATATCAAGATCCCACATGAATTAAATTTTATTTTTTTAAATTATAAATCATCAAAGGTAATCAAAGTAGTATATGCAAATAGTCTTAAGTTAAAGTGTTGCAAGTAAAAAATACTAAGTATCAGTTTTCAAAAAATTATAATATTCTTTTGTTTTCAAAAAAAAAAAAAAAAGAAAATATATATATATATATATATATATATATATATATATATATATATATATATATATATATATATTCTTTTATATCTTACAGTTTATGACGATTTATGCTAGCCAACCCCAAATCATTTTGGGAATAAGGCTTTGTTGTTGGTGGTGTGGTGGTGGTGTTGCACTTATGTTCATAATGAATGTTCTACACCTAATGAGATGCTCTTGTGAAAAAATGCAGGACAAGGCTGATACTGCAGCCAGAGAAGCTGATACTGCTAAAGCAGCGTGGCAGTGCCGGATATGTTTGAGTGCTGAAGTAGATGTTACACTTGTTCCTTGTGGGCATGTGCTTTGTCGCAGATGCTCCTCTGCTGTTTCTAAGTGTCCCTTCTGCCGTCTCCAGGTTTCAAAGACATTGAGGATCTTTCGGCCATGATAATCTTGATTGCTTCAACACACTTGGTTTTTGTTTTCTCTGGTACTCACTACGGAACTTTACCTTCACCCCCATCACCTTGTATGAGATAAAGAGATAGGTGACGATAAAGAATCAGATATGGGATGTGGTTTTCTAGCTCAAAGAGAGGGTTCTTTTGCTTCGGCTTCATTTTTGTGTATAGTGTACTGTATATAATCACCTGGGTGATTAGATCTTGGGTGGTCATCATAAACTCATTGTAATCATAAACCAAACAACTTTCCATTCAGATGGTAATATAGGTAGGGTTTTAGAGAGAAGCTCAATTTTTTGAAATATACGACTATTATTTTACATTATATATCTTAGACTTTTAATTACAGAGAGAGTGAGTAGGTACAGACGAGAAAATGATGTAATTATATACTTTACATTTACAATTTAGGTGTTCAATGGAATCTGGGATAGATTTGTATCCCTAAAAATGAACATGCCTTTTATTTTCTTCTGCTCCTATGACTATATTTATTTCTTTATTTCCTTCCTACATGCTTCAGACCCGAGGACTAAAAAAGCCATAGCTTAATTTTAAATCAAGAATGTGATCCCTGCTCAGATATTGACATTATTAAACCAAACCTTGCTCAATCTTTTATATCCTACGAATTGGTGTCAAATTTCTGTGAATAGAGTCACAAATTGGCCGAAAAAAGGAGATTGGAAAACTAAATGTATACAATGATTATGACTAAAAATCAGATTACTTGATGCCATTAAAGATGAACCAAATTTAGGCTCAAGTTACAGATATATCCTTGAAGACTTGGAGAATTTACAAAATCAGTTCATGCTAATCAACCAATTAGTCACGGCATTTCTTGGAGGAAAAGAGATTGTTGCTTTTCGACAAGACTGGTATACAATAGCTTGGTACAAAAATTAAAATAAAAAAAAGGTCCTGTTGTAATTACAATATCATATATCGACAATGAAAGAATCACCTCAGCTTTCCTTGGATACTCATACAAGGAAAATTATAAGGGTACTCATACAACAGATACAAAACTTGACCGCAATCAATGAGGAACCTGCATGTGGTAAATAGACAATTATAGTTAAGAGGTAGTAGCTTCATTATACCTGAATTGAAGAACAAGCTCCACCAAACATTTTCCTATATAATAATTTGATAATCATCTATGTATTCTTAGTGAACTAGGGCAAAGAGGTGCAGGAATACAGCTCCAAGTCATAAAATTATGCTTGGAATCATCTCCAGTGAGACTTCCATTCTTCAAAGGGTGTCCCGTCACACAATAAATGTTACATTTTGGTTTTGTCAAAGATACATAGGAAAAAACATTCAGTTAATTAGCAAAGTAGAATAGATCACTAAAACTGAGGCTGTAAGTGGCTTACCTGAGTATACATCATCTTTATCCGAGGTATCTAAGCAAAACTCCGTCATTTCCAAGAACAAACCCAGTCTTGTCATCTATGAACCTGCAAGCCACAAGGTTACTATTCAATAATGCATGAACCAACTATTTAGGAGTCAAATACTCATGTATCTGCAGATAAAATATTGCGACAAAATGCAAGTGTGTAAGGGATAAAGGGGGTTATTATAAATGTGACTGCAAGCATAAGGACACAGCTACAGATGTTTAAATAACAGTTTTACTTCTGTTTTCTATGGAACCTAAAACAAAAGCAAATTCCAAAACAAAATAAAAAACAATCTTTTTTTTTTGGATGACCAGAAAAACAGCTGTTCATGAATTAACCACAGCAATCATTAAGATGTAAGAGCTTACTTCACAGAATAAAGATTTGCTGCTATGTTGTCAGCAGCTTTGTCACGCGTCCAGGTCTTACCACCATTAGTGGATCTCAATAGAATTCCACTTCCTCCAGCTGCCCAAGCTTCATCCTACATTTCAGAGGAATTCAAAACATTGAGAGTAAGAAAGAAAAAGAAGCTCTCGGTGGGACCATGTGGAGGGCAGATGTGAAAAGGATACAAATTTGTCACTACCCAAGTAGACAGGATTTTCTTAAAAAGAGTTATAGTCATCAATAAAGATGTAAGAAAATATTATACTACAGAATACATGTTATTTTGATAAGTAAACAAATAGGGTCTTATTCAGTGTGCTACCCCTTTCACTTGCCAGAAAGAAAAAAAAAAAAAAAGGGGTGTAATCATTAAGGGCAACTATTGGCAAAGATATCATAGCTCAATGACATAACTTTAATGATACGTCTGCAACAACAAAAAATAATCACTACTTTGGAACATGATGAAATTTAATGGCTAATTAGTCTATCAGTGATTCAGGACCCTCATAGAGTCGTTGAGTAAATGTTGATGCTGATTTCAGATTTTAAAACAAATAAATAAATACTTCCTCCATTTTTTATTAGATGCATCACTTTTTATATATGGAAGTTTCAATTTAGATGCATTACTTTTCCTTTTAGTCAATAAATTCTCTCTGTTTCTCTCATATCACATGGACCCCATTAATTTTTTCTCTCTATCTCTCTACTCCAAAAATTGCCAAGGAGTCCGCAATTTTCAAAGTGATGCATCTAATAAAAAACGGAGGAAGTGAATAAATTTAAATCATACTTTTCATTCAATTCTCTGTTGCTTCTTTTCTTAAAGTAGCAGCAAGCCGTGGCTATTCTATGAGGAAACAGCATCTCTTCCAGAGAACAACAGTATATACAGTAAGCCATTGAACAGATTTAACACCCTCGACCCCCCTCCCCGCCAGGAATACAACATTAAGGAGAGACTTATGAGAGGAACTTAATTGGTTGGCTAGGATTGGGTTGTTATGAATCACAACAAAGGAAAACATTTTTAGTGAAAGATCTAATGGTAGCAACCGTTCTTTGTAGGGGAACAATAGCTTAAGTTATACGAGCCAAATAAGCACTCTTAAGTCTCAAGTAGCACACCAAGTTGACCACCCAACCATTCACTGCACCAAGTTCTGATGAGCAAGCAACCTATGCTTCAACACAGGTGCAGGTCAAGCCATTGCAATCAAACAATTGGACGGCTTGAATAATTTTCTTGTCAAAAATGAATGAGGTATTCCTTTGCGGTGGGCCTGTAAAGCTTATTCCTCTATAGTAGCCATCTTAAATTTTAAGATTCCATCTGACTGGATAAATCAACCTTGGGTGCAGAGGAATAGTCGAGCTCAAACTATACTCCCCATTACTGACATTCTAATACACCCAGGATTAAATGATGTCGATCAAATCAGGAACATCAGATAATTCTTGTGAAAAAAGTTTACTTAATGTATTGGTTTTGTTGTAGAAGATGACAACTTTTGGAAGACAAACAACGCAGAAGAGAAATGTTGTGAAGCAAGAGTTTCTGTGGGATGGGAAACTAAAGATCCAATCTAGGATCATATTGTTTTTAAAGGAAGGCTTGCCAGTTATGAGTATTTCCCAAGCACAGAGTCACAGAATCAGATTGAAGCCAAAGCCATACTCATGATACGAGAGACTTATTACAAAAGTAAAGCAGGGTCAAGAAATCCAGTGACAGCACCAAGGTAGCTTTGTCAAATCCTCAAGATAAAACTACCAGTAGAAATCTCCAATCATCCAAGATATTAGGACTCGATAAGAATTTTCATCTGTTATTAGTAACTAAGGTCCATAGGATTAATAAGGTATCTCACTGGTCAATCATTGAGCATAAACAGTGATGGTCAAAGAAGCAACATTTAGAGACATCTCTTCACAAGATGTCCCAGTCACCTTAACATAAGGTCTTTAAGGATAAATCTCAAAGCATGCAGCTAAATTAACCATTTCCTACCTTGGTTACGTTTATACAAAGGGCATATGCATAGGTCTTAGCTAGATTTCGCAGTCACTTCATGTTAGATGCAGTCTTGGTGATGCAGATATCCGATATTTATAGTTCTATTGTGTTAACAAATTCACATCAGTTTCACAGTAGAGCATATACAGTGGTCTGCAGCTCAACTGCACGCCATTTTATAGCTCAAATGATTGAAGTTTGAAGCCATTTTATAAAGAGAAAGTAAAAGAAGATATGCGATAGTACATATGCCCATCATAAGATACAAAATCAAAGGATACCTGTGAGCGATATCCAACGTCAAGAATGCCAAAACCACGACTTTGTACAGACACTTCCTCAAAGTCCTCTGACATCTGCAGAATGACACTGGCATTAAACTGAGACTGAAGAAAGCAGCAAAAAACCCCAAAGGAGTCCAAATATTTCATGATTGATAGTCTAAATATAAACATATGCAGAGAAAAGATAAAATCAGATTCATAATACATACACCATCCAATTCAAAATTATTAAAGCCAAATAACTTTCTGTAAGAAAAATTCAAGCAGATCCTAGACTCCAACAATCTTTCTTTTCTTTCTTTTAGTTTCATAATTCATTTATTCTTCACACAGACATAGGCATGATTCCAGATAACTTGAGATAAATTCAGAAAGAAAATATAATCTAATGTGAGTATGTAGTGACCCAGAAAGACAAACAGAGAAATGACATTTTCAAAAATTGTCTGAAACGCATGTAAATATTTTTAAAGGTTCAAAAATAGGGCTTGACAATAATGTATGATGACGCACAACAAGAGAAAGTAATGGAGTTCCATATAAAGGTAAACGATATTAGCACAGACCCCAGATCCCTTGCTTAGATACAGTCCACCACCACGTACAAGCAGCCAAAGACCACCATCAGCTCTCCAACCCATGTTCTGAATTCTTCTTGCAATTGTTCGGTTATGTGGCTGCCAGTAAGCCTGAAAATGATTTTATATCTATCAATAGGGTCCACTATAAAATGATGATTTTTTGTATACATATTTCTTATATCATCAGTTTTTGCAGGATCTAAAAATTGCAGGGCAAAAAAGGATGCTACCTGGCCAGGTTCCCAAGTCAGATAAAAGTTACCACGGCTCGAAACAGCAACATATCGACCATCTGGGGAGCGATTCACAGTATTGAAGGTACCTGTGTAGTAACTTGCACCACTGATACCACTAGAGACTGTTCTGCAAAAGCAACAAAGCTCTATAAGTGGAATGAAAATTGTATTCTTTTCTGTGC